GGGATCATTTTAGCCTCTTCTGCATGTCCAGATCATTAATAGTAACAATCAACTGATTCTTATGTATTACACTTTCAAAAATAATTGATGCTGTAGCCCACTGACATGGTTTGAAATCAATATATTATCCAATTTGTGACCACCCACAGGACTTAAAAAGCACCTAACTAGATCATGAAAATCCCAAAAATCTCAGGGGGGTATACCCCCGAACCCCCTTATCATGTTTGGACCTCGGTATTTAGGAAATCCTGGATACGGCCCTGAGCATAGTAATTGGTTTTATTAGACCGTCGATATGTGTCTTTATAAAGTTGGTGTCAAAATAATATGCACCCCTAGCCTTAGAACCTCTTAACCCTGAGATCATATTTTTTACCTCAACCTCTGGGATTTCCTCCAGGTCAAAAACGGGGGTGTGTATCCACAGTCGGGCTATGGGAGACCTCAGATGGCGGGAAGAGCTTTGTAATGTCCAAAGCACTATTTATGAAATACTCATTGAGAGAGCTGGCCAACACTGCAGGGTCTTTTATCAGGGCATCATTGATTTTTAATTCTAGAACATTATTTTCCTGTTTGGTATGTTTACCTAATAGTTGATTTAAGATTTGCCAAACTTTTGTCTGTGTGTGTGTGTAACACGGTGTGTGTTATAGTCTTTTTATAACTGGGTGACATAAAAACACAGCAGTTTTCTGCAGGTAGATAAAAGGTGCACTGGGGAATACAATTTAGTTGGAGTTTGGTATCAGCATGTGATCTGAAGCGGCTTTACTGATTGGCCGATGAAGTTACTGAATCATGTGGTCAGTAATTTAAATACTGCTATTACTGAATGTCATGCTGGATTATTCTGGAGTTACCTTGATAAGTAGTTTCTGTGTGGACAAGAGTCGACCATGATTTTGTATTTAATACACATTAGTCAGTTTAAGGTGATACTTCTGTTGGTATAATGTAGTGTTTATTGTGTTAAGGGCACACATTAAGGTGTGAAAGGTAATTGTTTGGGTATGAATGATGAAAATGAGGGGACTAAATACACAAACATGTGACTTTAGGGATTAAATACTGCGCAAGTGTTAATACATTCATGAAAATACAGCAGTGTGTTTTGAACCTTTTCTGTACCGCATCTGGTCTGTTTCGCTTGTAATGAACTTCTGTCTGTTTGATCACTGAGTTTCCACGCTAGAAAGAAAGCAGCGACTCTTTGATTTGGATACACAGATAAACATTTATTATGTCTTAGATCATATATCAAATCCTATTTTGACCACATGTTAATCTAAGGAACAGGAAACACGTCGCTATAGAAATGTTCATGATGTTATTTTCCTTCTAACAGTGTAAAAGTTTTTCCGGGTGATTTCTACTTCCTGTGTGAGTGCAGCCAGTCTGCTGTCTATAGAGATTTCTTTTTATTTTAACCCCAAATGATAGTATTTGCTCTGCGGTGCTATTTGCTGTCTAACAACTATCTAGGAAAAAAAAACTCTTGTTGTTTTGAATGTATTTGTAAATGTTTAAGTGTGTTTTCTAAAGACGCGCACTAGAAACCATTCTGGACCAGCTGAGAAACTTCAGATCAGAGTCCTGGTTCTGAAATGGACTCTCACACACACACACACACACACACACACACCACACACACACACACACACACACACACACACACACACACACACACACACACACACACACACACACACACAGACTGAAGGACAAACTGCTGAGCATTTTGATTGGAGGATGGAGGGATGAATGGACCAATAAAGGGTTCACGGTGAAGCGACGACACACGATGTACAGCCAGTTAATCCTGACCTAACACACCTGTACAGTCACCACTGACCTGGATACAGTGATTGGTTTTAGTTTGTGAATAAAGTGTCGAATGCCAAAATGTACCTATTTACTGCTCAAAGTGTGTTTTTTATTGTTGGTTTTTTGTCCTTTTCCAAATGATAGTTTTGGCTTTAAATGTTTAAAGTTGAATACATCATGAAAGACTAAGAAATCCAGAAAATATTCACTTTTGAGATGCTGGAACCCAGTGGTGAGCCGTGACTTTCATACCTAGGCCCTCTGACCTCTGAGTTATTTTGGTAAAACTACTAAAAATATAACTAAAGAAATGTTTAAAAAAAAATATTTCAAGAAAATATATTTTTTTAATGTTTTTAAATATTATTTTGTAGAATATCTTAGGGCCCTGCCGGCTCGCCACTGTTACTAGATACTAAGAGTAACCTGAGTTTGCATTCAAGTCTTGCACTAAGAACCAGTAATACTTTATGGTTTAATATGTTGATTTCATTGTCTTGAGTTACAGGATGCTGTGTTAACTAAAATATTTAATTTTACTGAGTTACATACAGTAGGAGGTTATTCCTTCAAGAGAAGGGGAAATGTTGTGTCCTGTTACTGTAGCCAGAGGGTGCTGTAGGACAGAGAGTTGATATAGGATGCCTGAAGGTGGAAGTTGGATAAAGAAGAATAAAGATTGAGTAAAGGATAGCACACGACAACAAGAGGACATACCCTCCATTACAAAGTGCACCATGATGGATGTGGCTGAGGTGGAACTGTTCTTAGGAAGGTTCATGTATAAAGAGAACTGAGCAGTGTCAGAAGCAGGACTCTGTTCATTCCTATATTCCACAATGTGTTTTGACAGAAATACGACTGAACTGACTCGACTTCCAGCATCAGCCTCCATGGCGTTAGGACAGGACTTATTATTGGAACTGAAACACTCAGGTAATCTGAACAACACAGTAACTGAACTCTTCAGAAAGAAAGGAGGATGGTTTTTGGGAACAAATAATCAAACGTATTGGTGAGTAATGGCTATAATGACTTTTATTTAACATTGTTGATATTTTCTTGTCATTTTATGAAGTAAATATTGTTGCTTCTGCTAGAGATGATGTGCGGCGCAGCAGTGAAAGGATGCTTGTTGAATTGTGTTGTTTGGTGTTCTTGCTTTAGTAATGGCATTCATTCTCGCTACATTAGAAACCTGTCTGTGATGCAGCGCCCTGTTATACTGCGTTAATGTATCATATTAATGGTTTCTATAGCCGTGACGTCATAATAATGCTATTAGGAGGTGGATTCATTCAGGTAGACACTACTGAAGGCCTAGGTGTGAAATGCACGGCCTGTTTCTGTTTTCAACATAACTCATTTGAAGATATTGTGAGACAAAAAAACTATAATTAGGATGCAAATAAAAAACACATTTTTGTATGAAATTTCATTAAAGGTCATTTTTTTATGGGTAATTTAATCTTGATCAAAATTCAACAAAAGCCAAACATTTTATTATTATCTCCCACCGGCCAAGCAAATACATTCAATAGAAAAAACCCTAAACATATTAAATTCATAACCATATATAACAAGGAAAAGCATTACATTCTCTATCTTCTATCAAAATGATCGTAACTAATTGATTATTCAGATCATTGTTGCAGCTGAATTCTGTAACACGAGGGCTTTGAGGAAAGAAATACACTTTTCTCTGATAAAAGCCGACACAGCAATTCAGCTTTAGAGCTCATCCCTCTTCTTCTCCTCCTCCTTGTGGAAGACTTGTCCATCCGGCTGCTTCCTCCAGGCCAGTTGGACGTTGTCGTCCAATCCCTGGGCCCTAAGGTTCTTTTTCGCCTGAGACACAAAAACTCATTTTCATTATCGTTCCAATAAAAACATGATTTATCTTTAGTTCACTCATCTGAAATGGTAGTTTTTCCCCTTATTTCTTCCAGTGTAAAGGCTTACCTCAGGTTATGGAATAGTATTTGTACATTTTCCTAATGCATTTGGTGGCATGTGGCTAAGTTTCTGCTATTTACTTCTGCACATATTTACACGTCTTCTTACTAAATGCTTGGGTCCTGTTATTTGTGGCCAAAGTATTGAATGTATAATGGATATAGAATTTCATTCATGTTCATCTTGGTCCATTTCATTCGTATTGAAATTCATTTACTGCATTTTCTTTCGTTGAATTCATTATTCTTTAATAGTTATTTATTTGTTTCCTACCTATTTCTTCTCTTGTTCTCATGTCATGTGAATTTCCTTTCTGGTGATTGATGTTTTTGCATAAAAGTAGAAAACATTATTTACCTCCACCAACATCGCATCCAGAAAAGCGGGGTCGTTCAGATCCACACCGTTTGGTTTCTCCACCCTCACCTTTATCACTTTCATTGAAACAGGCACAACAGGCACAACAGGCACAGCTAAAAACACAAACAAACTTCATCAGTCACAACATTTATGGTGTCTTCTTTTTCAGCAGACTCAATATCATCACTTGCTTTGACGTAGCTGTGAATTTTACTCACGTCCGTAGCAAATGAATGGTTTCTTCACTCCACAGTCCAAGTCCTCCCATTTTCCAGAGTCGTCGAAAGCTGCAGCCACACAAACCTTTGAAGCTCTGTAGTTAGGTTCCTTTTCTGCCCAGTACTTGAAGGAGGAGTTGCTTCCATCGGACCACTTCCAGGAGTCTCTGTAAAGGCCGATCCAGGCCCTATATCCAACAGGTGACAGCTCAACAATCAGCTGGCTCTCCGCCGGGTTTCTCACACTGGCCAGGTCTGTGTGGTGTTCTCTGCAGTAGCTCTGGGCCTCAGTCCATGTCATTCCTCTTTCAATGAGGACAAATGTTGCATCCGGCCCTGAAAATGGACCACAGAGAAGCTGAGTAGAGGCACCACGACATACAGCCTGACATCAATGCCACATCTCTGGTGGTATTTATGCCTTTATAATATAAAATATTACATTTAAATCCCACAAATGTGTACTTTGTAATTTGTAGTTCTGGGGTTTTTCAACACATGAATGTTGGCAAGAAACTTTAGTAGTACCAGTGGTGGAATATTCAGATCTTTTAGTAAAAGCAGGAGCACAACGATGTGAAGATACTCTGTTACAGGTTAAAGCTTCATTCAAATTATATTGATTCTATATTGTTCTTATTCTGTTTAGCACAGATGTATAAGATGTAAAACGTACCTACAATTCTAAAACAAGTTTGCAAAAACTTGTATATACATCATTTCCTTTTACGTTATCTTTTAAATGAAACCATGTGAGAATTTTTGTGAAAAGGGAAATGTCTTTAGTGGAACTGCTAACAAAAGAAAAAAAGTCACAAAGAAAAAAGATTTGTGAACCGCTAGTTAGATAAAGACCAATGCATTGTATTTCAGAAGCTTAAAATATGATTTTAAATGTGTAATATTAATTTTAAGTTTATATTCTTACCTGTGACATCAAAGCAGACCACCCAGAAGTGGGTCTTACAAGGATAATCAGACCATGTTCCACCAGAATGAAAAGTTGTGCATTGTTCATCGTGAAAGGTGCCTGGTTCTCCAGGCTGCCATTTTCTGAACTCCGTCTCCCCCGGTCCGTAGAAGCTTGGGTCTGACATCGACCACTTCCAGGTGTCCCGGTCATCGTGCAGCCCTATCCAGGCTGACTGAAAGCAAGACATTGTTATAATTATTACATCCTGTTGAAGCTTTTAAAGCTGCTGCTTAAGAAAATGTGTATGTTTAATAAAGAGAAGGTTTGTTTGCCTTTATGAGACCAGCCTTGGTACATGGTGATCTGATGGGAATCCCCTCAAGTCAACATTCATTGACAGCCTTGTTACTCTGAACCTCTACAACTTTATTACAGGGTTTTATGCTATAGCTTTGGCTTAAAACATTTTCAACTCTGTTTTAATACTCAGGTTCCCATAGGACTTTAAAACAGGTTTAGCTTTCTGTAATAATCTCTCCTTTTTCAATTCGACTCTAAAAGAAATGTAATTCATTTTAATTGAAAGACAGAGAAAAGTGACCTCACTTGGTTGTATTGGCCTGCCGTGTTGTTCAGGAGCTCCACAACCTCCATGCTGTCTACAGTGGCCAGGTCTGTGTGTTTCTCTCTGCAGTATCTCTGTGCTTCAGACATGTTCTTTGCTTCAGAAACAAAATGGTACTGACGTTGAGCATGTGAGGAGACAGTGCTCAGCCCTGTAGAGACACAGACATTCATTTAGGCTATAACTTGACTTTTTGAATCACACTTTACTGTAATATGGCGCATCATTATACATTTTGACTTCTACTTCAAACAATTCACAGTGAAATATGTAGCTTTCAGCTGAACTTCATTTAGTTGTTTTTAAGCAAGTACCTTTCAAACAATATAAAAGGTGTTAAGAATGCAAAACAAGTAATTGTCAAATAGAATCAGAAATGTCTTCTCTAGTTATTTATCTCCCCACCCCTCAGGTTTACATGAAATAATCAATAAAGACATAAATAGATATCCAAATATATAAAACACTTGCCTGCAGCTGCCATGATCAGCAGCAGAACTACGTCCATCGTTGTTTGCTCTCTGACTGCAACTGTTGTTACAGCTCATAGTGTTTCTCATGAATGTCTTTGAGTAAGCTATTGTCATCTGACTTCATGCAAGGTCAGACGCAACAGATGTTTGCATAGGCAAATTGTTCGGGTTATGTTAAATACAGGACCCAGTCGCAGAAAAGGACTTGAGAATCAGAATCAGAATTCTGAAGTAGGTTTACACATATGAGGAATTTGCTTTGGTTTATGTGGTGCATACAAAGACGAAGAAAGAACAATATAGCTAAACAAAATACAAATAAAAATAGAACTGTTATTTAAAAAAACGTTTTAAGAAAATATAATTCTCTAAGAAACATGAAAAATACTATGTACTATATCCAAAGTGGAGAGCTGTGCTGATATACAAGAGGTAGTGTGGAGAAGAAATGTGCACCACATTTGTAGGATTCGCACGATGTGACTTAATGTAATACATAATGTTTTTTATGGGGTTGGTAGAAGTCAGTGTCCGTGGGGGTCACGGGCCTTGTTGATGAGACCGGTAGCAGAGGGGAGGAAACTGTTCAGGTGGCGAGAGGTTTTGGTCCTGATGGAGCGCAGCCATCATCGACTTTGGCAGGTTGAATTTATTCAGCTGCCGCAGGAAAAACATCCGGTGCAGCTGGGAGAGCTTGTCCCGCAGAGGGAATGAAGTTCATCAGATTTATTGTTGTATACTCAGGCAGATGATGAAGAAAGGGTAGCGGAAACCGGTGGCGGTTGGCGATGTGTCACGACCGATGGGAGCCTGGTGTGAAGACTTGCTACAGGCGCAGACAGAGCACGAAAACTAGAGAGTCCGCCTCCATGGAAGTCCACTAGAAGTGACGTTTCAGGAGGGATAGGGTCCGATTGATACCCGGGTGGAAGGCCATGCGGGAAGAGTGGGCGAATAGGAGAACTTGTGAGCGGTCAGGTACAACGGTTATCCGGACTGTTACCTGGATCTGGCTGGTCTTTCTGTTCGTTCCTCACTGAGCTCTCAATCTCCCACGTCACAGCGCCCACCACCCTGGTAGCGGGAATTATGGTGTCAAGAACTGTGGAGTCATGATCCCCTGCAAACCGCTGGGACAGAGCGTCAGGTTTGTAGGTTTCTAGAATCGGAACGATAGGTAAAGGTAAAGTTGAATCTGCCAAAAATGAAAGCCCAGCAGGCTTGACAAGAGTTTAATCATTTGGCAGTTTTTATGTAGGCCAGGTTCCTATGGTGTGTCCACACAAGGAATGGATGTTTAGAGCCCTCCAGCCAGTGCCTCCATTCTTCCAGTGCAAGCTTCACAGCAAATAGCTCCCTGTTGCCAACATCATAGTTGCGCTCAGCAGTCTTCAAGCATCTACCTCAACAATAAACTGTAGAGATGTGTCAGTAGAGGCTAACAAGAAATGTCTCTTCAGCTCTGAGAAGGCAGGATCAGCCTGAGGAGTTCACAAGAAAATGGATTGCTGGGGAGGTGAGTTGGTTGAGAGGAACGGCCACACGACAGTCTCTGATATATCCACAACAAAAATGTACAAACTCCAAAAAACGCTGGAGCTGCATCCTGCTGGAAGGTTTGGGGCATTGTGCCACAGCTTGGTCCTTCTCTGGGTCTGCTTTCACTTGCTCTCGTTCGATGATGTACTGTAGCCTAGAAAATCCACTGAATCCAAAATAAATTTGACAAACAGTTTGTTTTCACGGAGCCTTTGTAGAACCTGCTGCACATGTTGGGTGTGTTCCTCCATTGTACGTGAGAATATTAAGATGACAACAATATACACAAAAACTGAACGGTTCAGGATGTCACGGAGGACATCGTGCACCAGAGGCTGGAAGACAGCCGGGGCATTGGTTCGAATGGCATCTCTAGATACTCTAAATGGCCTAATGGGGCGTCTTCCACTTGTCTGCTTGACGGACCAGCTGGTAGGCGTTCCTGAGGTTGAGTTTTGAGAAGATGGTGGCTTCCTGTAGTGGTTCGAAGGCTGAGTTGATGAGAGGGCATATTTGATTTTGATGGTGATGTTGTTACAATGCAGGGGCGCAGAGAGTGGTCTTTCTTGGACACAAAGAAAAAAAGGTTCACGCTTCGGTCGGGACAAGTTAAACCGATAGCTGGATGGAAGAGAGGCCCAAGGAAGAAGATCTATGACGCTTATTTACACCCAGAGGTGGAAAAATTACTCAGAACTTGTACTTAAGTAAAAGTAGAAGTACCAGAGTGTAGGAATACTCTGTTACAAGCAAAAGTCCTGGATTCAAAATGTTACTCAAGTAAAAGTAGAAAAGTATTGGCATCAGAATATACTTTAAGTACCAAAAGTAAAAGTATTCATTTGCAGATTGGCCCATTTCAGAAAAATATATATTATATGTTTTGATTATAATTATTGATGCATTAAAGTGTTATCAAAGTTGGTATTATATCTTAAGTACAGTACTTGAGCAAACGTACTTAGTTACTTCCCACCTCTGTTTACACATTACAGTGTAAATATGGAAGTGACAGTGGTTAACAACTATCTTGTGTTGAGAAAAACGAACAAATATAATTTTTATTTGATCTCAAAATAGAGTTAAAAATTACAATAAATTGTAGTTAAGGTTCCTACTCTGCAAAAAGGGTTAAATGTACACTATGTGGTGTGGACCCATTGACACAAAGTGTTGAAATCAGATCTGAGAGTGTTCATTTGGGTATGCTGATTTTGCTTTGATACAACATTCAAATCACTCTGTTTGCATACAGTAAGAAAGGTCAAAGCAGCACAATAAAACTACCCAGAGGTTAAACCTGGAACAATACGTATGTTCTCTTTGGATGAGATCAACACTGTCCAAATACCACATTACAAGTAAAATACCTGCATTATGTGATTATAATCAGGAACAAGTACTCAAAGTATCAAAATGAAAGGTAATCAATACTTGCTCCTTAAGTCTATATGTTATGATATAATTTGTATCACCCTGTAATAATTAATTTTGTTTTCACAATTAACTGTTAACAGTACTTTACTATAAATAAGTTTTACAGTAAAACAGCTTTACTTTTGGTTAGAGTTTAACACTGTAAGGATGGTATGAGCATGCAAAACTAATCTCAAACACAAGACACAGCAGGGCAGGGCAGGAAGAACACAAGGACACCAGAGCCGTTTCTCATTTCTCCAATACAGGAAAAAAAAGGGTTTTGTTTGAAGATCTGTTTAGCACGCTAACGTCAGGAGCGTTGTGACTACTCCGTGTCCACGGTAACAGACGCAATGACATCAAGACACGTTTCCTTTACTTGATCTGAAAAAATTAAACCTTAGAAAGACATTAATAATAATAATGACTATTTATATGGAACCTTTCATGCAAGGTGCATCCCAAAGTGCTTTTCATGAGGACATTTCTATTTTGAAAACAGCTAAATATTAATTAATTACATATATATATATATATATATATATATATATATATATATATTACCATATATGACAAAAATAAGGAGCATCAAATCATAATATTTAGAAGGATAGAAAAAGCAATAATTAATATTTTCCCCTAGAAGTTGTTACAGTAATTAAAATAGTCATACAAATCTTTAGGGAAATTGCTTCAAGTTTTCATCCCCATTTGGGTGACGGCATAATTGTGTTATATGAAATAATTGGAAGATATTCTTACATATTACAGGAAGAAAACTTGGTCTGATCCCAAAACATATTACTTTTATGACAATATATGAAGTAAAGCATCAAATCCTCATGTCATGGAAGCCAATTCCCTAATTTAGCATCCCTACAAATGTGAAAATGAATTATATGTACAATTATTTTGTTTTCTTTATAGCTTATTTGACGGAATTATGGAATTTAACAGTGAATCTTCGTGTTACTCACGTCCGTAGCAAATGAATGGTTTCTTCAACCCACAGTACAAGCCCTCCCATTTTCCAGAGTCATGGAAAGCTGCAGCCACACAAACCTTAAAAGCTCTGTGTTTAGGTTCATTTTCTGCCCAGTACTTGAAGGAGGAGAAACTTCCATCGGACCACTTCCAGGAGTCTCTGTAAAGGCCGATCCAATATATCCCTCCAGGTAACAGCTCAACAATCTGCTGCTCCTCCGCCGGGTTTCTCACACTGGCCAGGTCTGTGTGGTGTTCTCTGCAGTAGCTCTGGGCCTCAGTCCATGTCATTACACCATCAGTGGAGAGAAATCTCACATTCGGTCCTGAAAATGGACCCCAGAGAAGTGCTGAGTAGAGGCACCACGACATACAGCCTGACATCAATCACACATCTGTGGTGGTATTGATGCCTTTATAATATAAAATATAACATTGAAATCATCGAGACATAAGGAATTACACCAATATATGAACACATGTATTAAATAAACATGTATGATATTATAATCTGAAAGTGTTTTTAAACGGTCTCTCCACATGAATTTAAATATAAATAAGAGATCAGATATAAAAAAGTTTGGGAACCATTTGTCAGATATAGAATAATAATAATATACTTTCAGAAGCTTCAAATTAATCTGAAATTAATATTCTTACCTGTGACCTCACAGCAAACTGCGCAGTAGCGGTTGTCACAAACAACATCATCCCATAGTCCATGAGGAGAACAAATCATTGAGCATCGTTCTGTCACAGTGTTGCCTGGTTGTCCAGACCCCCATCGTCTGAACTCCATCTCCCCCGGTTTGTAGAAGCTTGGGTGTGACAGTGACCACCTCCAGGTGTCCACGTCCTCATACAGCCCTTTCCAGGCTGACTGAAAGAAACATTAAATGTGTTTAAAAACTAACACCCTGATCTAGCTTTTAAAGCTGCTCAAGGAAATGTATGTGTTTATTAAAGAGACATGTTTTGCCTTCATGAGACCAGCCTTGGTACATGGTGATCCAATGGGAATCCCCTCAAGTCAACATTCATTTACAGCCTTGCTACTCTGAACCTCTTCAACTTTATTTCAGTATTTTACGCTGGCTTGGGCTTAACACAACCTCCATGCTGTCTACAGTGGCCAGGCCTGTGTGTTTCTCTCTGCAGTATCTCTGTCAAAGTCAAAGTCAAAGTCAAAGTCAGCTTTATTGTCAATAATTCTACATGTTGTACATCCAGAAATATCGAAATATCGTTTCCCGCAGTCCTACAGTGTGACATATATACATCAAACAAAAAACAAAAAGGGCCTAGATAAACATGGTATACATTAAACAAAACAAAGGGCCTAGATAACCGGGGTATACAGTTTAAAATGTTAATAATATAATTTAAGTGTTTAAAGTACAGTTTCAGTGCAGTAGCAGCGGAGATGGGCAGAAAAGTGAGTTTAGGGGGTTAGAGTCCAGGACCATTTGGGGCAGGGGAGAAAGGTCGGAGGCAGGGTGGAGAGTTCAGGGCAGAGATGTCAGAGGGCGGAAGAGATGGAGGGAGGGGAGAGAGTTCAGCAACCTGACCGCCTGGTGGAGGAAGCTGTTGCCCAGCCTGGAGGTGCGCGAGCTGAGGCTGAGGAACCTTCTTCCTGAAGGCAGGAGGCTGAAGAGGCTGTTGGAGGGGTGGGTGGAGTCACCCACAATGCTGAGTGCTTTGCGGGTGAGGCGGGTGTTGTATATGTCCTGTAGTGAGGGGAGTGAGGCACCGATGATCCTCTGGGCAGAGTTCACTATGCGCTGCAGGCTCTTGCGGTCGGCGGCGGTGCAGCTTCCGAACCACAGCGTGATACAGCTGCTGAGGATGCTCTCGGTGGCGCCTCGGTACAAGGACAGCATGATGGGGGGTGATGCTCCGGCTCGCTTGAGCTTCCGGATGAAGTACAGGCGCTGCTGGGCTTTCTTCGCTAGTGCGGTGGTGTTGTTTTTCCAGGTGAGGTCCTCAGTGATGGTCACACCAAGGAATTTGGTGCTGGTCACCTGCGTCACAGCAGCGCCGTTGATGGTCAGGGGGAGTGGCGGTCGACAGTGGGTTCTCCTGAAGTCAACAACTATCTCCTTTGTTTTCTCCAGGTTGAGGAAGAGGTTGTTGTTTTGGCACCACAGGGCCAGCTGGTTCACTTCCTTCCTGTAGTTAGTCTCATCGTTGTTGCTGATGAGACCCACCACAGTGGTGTCATCTGCAAACTTCACGATGTGGTTGGTGCTGAAGGTGGGTTTGCAGTCGTGGGTCAGCAGAGTGAAGAGAAGGGGGCTGAGCACACATCCTTGGGGGGCCCCCGTGCTCAGTATGAGGGTGTCTGAGGTGTTATTGTTGACCCGTACAGCTTGTGGTCTGTGCTTCAGACACGGTCTTTGCTTCATAAACAAAATGGTACTGACGTTCAGCATGTGAGGAGACAGCGCTCAGCCCTGTAGAGACACAGACATTCATTTATAACTTGAGTTTTCATTTAAATTGTGATTACCTTAATAAACACATTATGACGAATGTCTAGCCTACAATACACTTATTCAAACAGTGTATCTAGTGTCAAAAATGTCCTCTACAGCTAATTTTATCATGTCCTTCATCTGTACACATCAAATGAAATATCATTTTTCAACCACATGGCGTGAAACTTGTACAGGTATAAAACAATACAAATATATCCAAATACATCAAACACTTGCCTGCAGCAGCCATGATCAGCATCACAACTACGTCCATCTTTGTTTGGTTTATTGTGTGGCATCAGATTGCAAGTGTTTAACGCGGATAGTGTTTCATATTATCAGCTATTTGAATATAAGCATCAGACTTCATGATGATGCATCATGAACTCTGATGCGTCCTCTGGCTCCATGCAAATTGGTCACAGGCAACAATCCTTTGCATATTAGGCAAATAATAACCACACAGCTGAAAAGACCATTTGGGGATCTGTTTTCAAAAAACTTGATACAGCTATTTTTCTACAAAGTTTAAACGTTCCCCTACTTTCTAAACATTCAAGAAATAAAACCACACACACACACGCACACACACTACAATCACACACACACACACACACACACACACTACAATCACACACACACACACTACAATCACACACACACACACACACACACACACACACACACACACACAAACACACACACACGCACCAATGTTATATTTAACTAATATTTAACTCCCTCCGCTGATTTGTAGTCCCAGTCCGCCCCTCTCCTAGCCTAATCTGTTATCGTTCCCTAAATCTACTAATTTAGCGGGGGATAATCCACTACCATGCTTTAATTCACATGTTAATTTGCTTCAGATGTGCTGATAATATCCGCAATATAAGTCTGAAAACGTCTTACCTTTAAAAGTCCATCACAAACGGTCTATTCTGCTGCAACTCTACTGCGCTGCTAGTCTTTGCCGGTAACTTCCGGGAACTATTGAGAGGCTCCACGATGTAAATATATATGTTCTTGAATAAAGGAGAACACATATCTATATATATCTATATAGAGAGTCAGGAGGCCATACATTGTCTAGAATCAGGGAAATTACCATTCTGGCCAATAACCAATACCAACCAATAATCCAACATGTGAGAAATAATTGAATAAATCATTCAAAGAAATAACATCTCTTTATTGGATATAGTTTATTCTTCATAGTGATTATTTTTTTAAAACAGTATATTATTTTCATGAAGATACATGACAAAAAACAACATCACATCTTATAATAATAGTTAAGAAGCTGGAACCAGCGAATATTCAGCATTGTTGCCAGAAGGATGTTTGAGTAACGTAAAACGGTTATAGATAATTTAAGGAAATTTGCTTCAAGTTTATATCCTTAATAAGGATGAAAATAATACAATTAATTATTTTCTATTTTAACTATTTGAAGATATTCTCACATTACATACATTACATTTTTTGTGGTTGCAATGCAACGAAAACTGATATTTAATTTGTTTAAAAAGATAAAGGTAATCTTTCTTTTTTAATATCTTAATTTATAATCTAATAATATCTAATCTATCAAATGTCACACAAAAGAGTAAAATGCCTGTTATATATCCCACAGCCAGAGGGAATTAAAACCTGAAGAGATTCAGTTTATGACCACATAGCACAAAGAAAAGCATTAAATCTTCATATTCTGGAAGCTGATTCACCAATTTTAGGAACATATCTTAAAGTTTGCATCCCTAAAGAAAAGGAGCAATAAACACAATGTTTAACTCATTTGAAGATATTAATAACAGTGAGTAATTGTACAACACATTTTTAGGATGAAATATAAGTTTCAAATGAAGAATTACATTTTTTTATGAAAATGACTTTAAAGATGCATTAGAGGTCATCATGTTAATTGGAAATAAGATTTCCTGGAATTGCCCTCTATTAAATCTTATATTATTTTAAAATGTCTTATCATATTTTATCAGAATAAAACATATACTGTAAAAAGTCACAAAATAGGAAAGAAATCCTGTTTTTCGCAGGTCAAGCAGATACACGAACAGTTAAAACCCCAAACATATTAACTTCAAAACCATATAACAAGAGAAAACATTACAGCTCTTATCTTATCTCACTACTGATAGATTATTCAGATCATTGTTGCAGCTGTATTCTGTAACACGAGGACTTTGAGGAAAGAAATACACCTTTCTCTGTTAAAAGCCAAAACAGCAATTCAGCTTTAGAGTTCATCCCTCTTCTTCTCCTCCTCCTTGTGGAAGACTTGTCCATCCGGCTGCTTCCTCCAGGCCAGTTGGACGTTGTCGTCCAATCCCTGGGCCCTTAGGTTCTTTTTCGCCTGAGACACAAAAACTCATTTTCATTATCGTTCCAATGAAAACAGATGATTTATCTTTAGTTCACTCATCTGAAATGGTAGTTGTTCCCCTTATTTCTTCCAGTGTAAAGGCTTACCTCAGGTTATGGAATAGTATTCGTACATTTTCCTAATGCATTTGGTGGCATGTGGCTAAGTTTCTGCTATTTACTTCTGCACATATTTACACGTCTTCTTACTAAATGCTTGGGTCCTGTTATTTGTGGCCAAAGTATTGAATGTATAATGGATATAGAATTTCATTCATGTTCATCTTGGTCTATTTCATTCATATTGAAATTCATTTACTACATTTTCTTTCGTTGAATTCATTATTTTTTAATAGTTATTTATTTGTTTCCTACCTCTTTTGTCTCTTGTTCTCATGTCATGTGAATTTCCTTTCTGGTGATTGATGTTTTTGCATAAAAGTAGAAAACATGATTTACCTCCACCAACATCGCATCCAGAAAAGCGGGGTCGTTCAGATCCACACCGTTTGGTTTCTCCACGCTCACCTTTATCACTTTCATTGAAACAGGCACAGCTAAAAACACAAACAAACTTCATCAGTCACAACATTTATGGTGTCTTCTTTTTCAACAGACTCAATATCATCACTTGCTTTGACGCAGCTGTGAATTTTACTCACGTCCGTAGCAAATGAATGGTTTCTCCACTCCACAGTCCAAGTCCTCCCATTTTCCAGAGTTGTCGAAAGCTGCAGCCACACAAGCTTTGAGACCTACGTAGTTAGGTTCATTTACTTTCCAGTACTTGAAGGAGGAGTTGCTTCCATCGGACCACTTCCAGGAGTCTCTGTAAAGGCCGATCCAGGCGTTAGATCCAGTTAACAGCTCAACAATCTGCTGGTTCTCCGCCGGGTTTCTCACACTGGCCAGGTCTGTGTGGTGTTCTCTGCAGTAGCTCTGGGCCTCAGTCCATGTCATTGCGCTGTTGATGAGGACAAATGTTGCATCCGGCCCTGAAAATGGACCAGAGAGAAGCTGAGTAGAGGCACCACAACATACAGCCTGACATCAATGCCACATCTCTGGTGGTATTGATGCCTTTATAATATAAAATATTACATTTAAATCCCACAAATGTGTACTTTGTAATTTGTAGTTCTGGGGTTTTTCAACAGATGAATGTTGGCAAGAAACTTTAGTAGAATCAGTGGTGGAAGAAGTATTCAGATATTTTAGTAAAAGCAGGAGTACAACGATGTGAATATACTGTGTTACAGGTTAAAGCTTCATTCAAATGATATTGATTCTATATTGTTCTTATTCTTTTTAGCACAGATGTATAAGATGTAAAACGTACCTACAATTCTAAAACAAGTTTGCAAAATGTTTTATATACATAATTTCCTTTTACGTTATCTTTTAAATGAAACCATGTGAGAATTTTAGTGAAAAGGGAAATGTCTTTAGTGGAACTGCTAACAAAAGAAAGAAAGTCACAAAGAAAAAAGGATGGGAACCGCTAGTTAGATAAAGACCAATGCATTGTATTTCAGAAGCTTAAAATATGATTTTAAATGTGTAATATTAATTTTAAATTTATATTCTTACCTGTGACATCAAAGCAGATCACCCAGAGGGGGATATTACAAGGATAATCGAACCATGTTCCTGTTCCACCAGAATAAAAATTTGTGCATTGTTCATCGTGCCCGTTGTTTGGTCGATTAGGCCCCCATGGCCTGAACTCCTTCTCCCCCAGTCCGTAGAAGCTTGGGTCTGACATCGACCACTTCCAGGTGTCCCGGTCATCGTGCAGCCCTATCCAGGCTGACTGAAAGCAATAAATTGTTATAATTATGGCATCCTGTTGAAGCTTTTAAAGCTGCTGCTGAAGAAAATGTGTATGTTTAATAAAGAGAAGGTTTGCCTTTATGAGACCAGCCTTGGTACATGGTGATCTGATGGGAATCCCCTCAAGTCAACATTCATTTACAGCCTTGTTACTCTGAACCTCTTCAACTTTATTACAGGGTTTTATGCTATAGCTTTGGCTTAAAACATTTTCAACTCTGTTTTAATACTCAGGTTCCCATAGGACTTTAAAACAGGTTTATCTTTCTGTAATAATCTCTCCTTTTTCAATTTTACTCTAAAAGAAATGTAATTCATTTGAATTGAAAGACAGAGAAAAGTGACCTCACTTGGTTGTATTGGCCTGCCATGTTGTTCAGGAGCTCCACAACCTCCATGCTGTCTACAGTGGCCAGGTCTGTGTGTTTCTCTCTGCAGTATCTCTGTGCTTCAGACATGTTCTTTGCTTCAGAAACAAAATGGTACTGACGTTGAGCATGTGAGGAGACAGCGCTCAGCCCTGTAGAGACACACACATTCATTTAGGCTATAACTTGACTTTTTGAATCACACTTTACTGTAATATGGCGCATCATTATACATTTTGACTTCTACTTCAAACAATTCACAGTGAAATATGTAGCTTTCAGTTGAACTTCATTTAGTTGTTTTTAAGCAAGTACCTTTCAAACAATATAAAAGGTGTTAAGAATGCAAAACAAGTAATTATCAAATAGAATCAGAAATGTCTTCTCTAGTTATTTATCTCCCCACCCCTCAGGTTTACATGAAATAATCAATAAAGACATAAAAAGATATCCAAATATATAAAACACTTGCCTGCAGCTGCCATGATCAGCAGCAGAACTACGTCCATCGTTGTTTGCTCTCTGACTGCAACTGTTGTTACAGCTCATAGTGTTTCTCATGAATGTCTTTGAGTAAGCTATTGTCATCTGACTTCATGCAAGGTCAGACGCAACAGATGTTTGCATAGGCAAATTGTTCGGGTTATGTTAAATACAGGACCCAGTCGCAGAAAAGGACTTGAGAATCAGAATCAGAATTCTGATGTAGGTTTACACATATGTGGAATTTGCTTTAGTTTATGTGATGCATACAAAGACGAAGAAAGAAGAATATGTACGTAAACAAAATAAAAATAGAAATGTTATAACAGCTATTTAAAAAAACTTTTAAGAAAATATAATTCTCTAAGAAACTGGGTACAGTCAAATGTAATAAAACATGAAAAATACTATGTTGTAGTGACCACTATTTAACTAGGGTACATAATTCACGCATGGAACTACAGGTTGGGGGTATTGTTTCCGCCCGGACATATATGTTGACGGTACCTCCGGGGTACCTACAGTGTGTGTGTCCCTTTCACTTTCTCTTACTCTTCTCGGCTCGACCCGACAGCATGCCGATTTCTGCTCCTCAATAAAGCCAGATTTGTACCTCCGATGCACCGCCTCCGTCTCCCTTCTCTCGGCACTACATTGGTGACCCTGACATAAGTCTCGCGAAGGATCCGAGACTGACTCGAACACGGCAAAATGCGCAGCTTTTCTCGAAATGCCGGAGATTCTTGGAGACGTCCGTGGCTGCCTCGTGCGCTCGGACTGTGGCTCGGTGCGCCCCACGGAATGGACGCGGACGACGCTCGCCATTTCCACGGCTTTTCGGCTCTGGGGGACGGCAAGCCTTCCATGGGGCCGGTACGCGACCGTGCCGGGTTTGTTCGGGACATGCGGCTGCATGTCCGGCCAGCGACTAACGGCCGCCGAGATCAGCTAGCCACGACTGCTAACGACTAGCAGCTGGCAACAGCTAACAACGGCTAGCCACAGCAGCTAGCGGCTGACATCCGACTGTTTTTTTATTTTTATTTTTGTTTTGTTTTTTGTTGTGCCGGAGAGGAGGTTCGATCACGTCTGGTCGGCCTCGTGTGGATCCTCTCACAATTTCGCCCACCTGTTTTTGATCGTGGACAGGACGACCTTTTGAGTTTTTTTCTGGTGCCTGGGAGGAGGTTCGACCATGTCTGGTCGGCCTCGTGTGGACCCTTTCGCTGTTTCACCACCTCGACGGCGGTTTCGGACGTCACACACGCCTTCTTCGGCCCGTGGGTGGCGCGCTTCTGGACCCCGTCTCGCCTCTTCCCTCGCCTCGGCGGTTCCGGACGTCGCCCATGCCTTCATCGGCCCGTGGGTGGCGCGCTTCGGGACCCTGCCTGGCCTCACCTCTAACCGCGGCTCACGGTTCGCCTCGACGGCGCCCCGTCTGGCCTCTCCCCTGTCCACGGCTCCTTCCTCCCGGGGACACGGCTCCTTCCTCCCGAGGACTTCGTGCCCGCCGCCGCTGTGCCTTCGCCTGCGGCCGGGCAGCGCTCCTCCCTGCTGGGGACCACCGGGTTTTTCACGCCTGTCCCCTCGTCGCTACACGGCGACCCTGCTTTCTGCGGCCCCCTGACGTCGGCCCGTTCCGGCCCGCCCCCCACCCTCCGGTGGGGATGCCCTCGCCCTCGTTGGGGCCCCTACCCTCTTCTGCGGCCCCCTGACGACGGCCCGTTCCGGCCCGCCCCCCACCCTCCGGTGGGGACGCCCCTCGCCCTCGTTGGGGCCCCTGCCCTCTCCTGCGGCCCCCCGACGATGGCCCGTTCCGGCCCGCCCTCCGGTGGGGATGCCCTCGCCCTCGTTGGGGCCCCTGCTCTCTCCTGCGGCCCCCTTCCGACGGCCCTTTCCATGGCCCGGCCCTCGCCTGCGGCCCCGCCCTCCTCGGCCCCTGTGGTGCTTCCTCCCGGACGCAAGGATTGTGTCCATGGTTGAATTCTGGGGGGGCTTGTGTAGTGACCACTATTTAACTAGGGTACATAATTCACGCATGGAACTACAGGTTGGGGGTATTGTTTCCGCCCGGACATATATGTTGACGGTACCTCCGGGGTACCTACAGTGTGTGGCCCAATCCCAAACCGCCCCCTACACCCTACCCCTACACACTCCCCCTCCGTGACGGAGTGAACTCCGTGGAGTGACACTCGCAGCTCAACGAGGCTCCCAATACAGCGGCAAGCTTTGGGACAAACTCCCCTCTCTCTGGCAGAAACAGGAAATGCCGTAACTGTATGTAACAACGGTTTCAAATCAGCATCTCTTTGACAAAAAATGTAAATTAAGAACTCAAATAAAACTCCAAACATCTTTCATTGTGTTACTTTTTTGTAAAGCTCTTTTAGTTTTAAACCTGATGTTTATAATTTTCTTAGTTTTTGCAACAGTCTGTAAATATACACAACTTTATAATAAAATGCACACATTTACCTTTTTCTAGATTAAACACAGGTATGATCCTAAGTTAAAAAAATATGAGGTTATCATGAGGTTGTTAACATCGCAATTTATCAGTGGATGTTTGCTGGAACTACTTTTTAACAGCGTGTTTCCTGACGGACACACACAGCGTGACTCCGGTCAGGTAGAGACCAGTCTCACCGATGCAGACTCGCTGTTTGAGGGCTTGATAGCCCACTCCCCCTCCACACCTCTCCACACTCGTTGGTTTGGAACAGCACTTAATGTGGCGGACCCTCCGCGCGAACGCGCAAACGGAGGGGTAGTGTGTAGGGGTAGGGTGTAGGGCGTGGTTTGGGATTGGGCCTCAGTGTCCCTTTCACTTTCTCTTACTCTTCTCGGCTCGACCCGACAGCATGTCGATTTCTGCTCCTCAATAAAGCCAGATTTGTACCTCCGATGCACCGCCTCCGTCTCCCTTCTCTCGGCACTACAATGTTCTATATCCAAAGTGGAGAGCTGTGTCAAGGAGTGAACTCTGAGGCATGAACTCAAATGCACGACTCAAACTCAGACTCAGGAGAGGTTCAAAATAAAGACTTTACTGGAATTTACACAGTAACAAAAACAGGGAAAACAATAACTCTCTTTCGAGGAAAAACAATGACAATACTCTGAAGCTTAGAGGTACGTAACACGTCTGTGGAGTAAGCTTGCTCAAAGTCCTGAATGAGGAAACGAACCGACAATGGACAGGAGGGAACTAGCAGAATATATACACAGGGTAAGGGGAACAGGTGGAAACAATCAGGGCGGGGAAAACAATCACAGACGCAGGAGACAGATAGGGGCGGGGAGCGTGGAGGCCTGAAATGAGAGGGAGAATTACTATTCAAAATAAAACATAAAGCACAGGACAGAAGGACATGACAAAACTAACATAACGAATAAACTTTCACAATAAGTTTCTTAGACATGACAGTACCCCCTCTTCTAGGGACGGCTCCTGACGGCCCAGACTCCTCCGAGTTGAGGCGGTCAAAATCCTTAATGAGGCTCTTATCAATAATGAAACGGGAAGGAATCCATGACCGCTCCTCAGGGCCGTAACCCTTCCAGTCAACAAGGAGCTGTCGCCCTCTACCCCGTTTCCTTGCAGCCAAGAGTGTTTTGACGGTATAGACCGGACCTCCATCGATCATCCTGGGAGGCGGGGGGGGTTTGGCGGTGGGAACCATGGCGCTCTCCTTCAGTGGTTTCAATTTCCCCACATGGAAGGTGGGATGTACCTTCATGGACCTGGGAAGCCGTAGTCTCACTGAAACCGGGTTGATGACCTTGGTGATGGGAAAAGGACCCATAAACCGGGGAGCCAACTTGCGGGAGAGTAAGTGGAGGGGAAGGTCCCGCGTAGAAAGCCAGACTTTTTGGCCTGGCTGGTATACAGGAGCTGGTCGGCGTCTTCGGTCTGCTGCTCGTTTTACCAGCTGTGAATTTCTGCAGAGGATTTTTCTAGCCGCAGCCCACACGCGATGACAACGCCTGACCAGAGCGTGGGCAGACGGAACTGTGACCTCTTTCTCCGTGGCTGAGAACAGTGGCGGCTGGTACCCATAAACACAATGAAACGGGGACAATCCCGTGGCAGACGTGGGAAGGATGTTGTGCGCATACTCCACCCAGGTGAGGTGCTCGCTCCAGGAGGATGGATTCTGGGACACCAGGCAGCGCAAGCAAGTCTCCAGTTCCTGATTCAGGCGCTCTGTCTGGCCGTTTGACTCCGGGTGGTATCCAGACGAGAGACTGACCGTGGCACTGATGAGTCTGCAGAACTCCTGCCAGAAACGAGACACAAACTGGGGCCCCCGATCGGAGACAATATCCTTTGGGAAACCATGCAGACGAAAAACATTATGCATCATGACCTCAGCCATTTGAGGCTGAGGGCCTCAAATGGGGGCAATTTGGGCAGAGCAATGAAATGTGTCATCTTGGAAAAATGGTCCACTACCGTGAGAACTGTGGTGTTACCTCTAGAGAGGGGCAGGCCTGTGACGATCCATGGAAATCTCTGACCAGGGTCTGTTGGGAATAGGAAGTGGTTGTAATAACCCCATCCGCGCCCTGGAAGAGGTCTTATTGCGAGCGCAGACAGGGCACACCTCCACATACTCCTTCACCTCCTTCTCCATGGATGTCCACCAGAAACGTTGTTTAACAATGAACATGGTTCTCTTGACTCCGGGGTGACAGGTGAGTAGCGACGTGTGAGCCCAGTGGATCACCTGTGGTTGCTCGGCTTCCTGAACAAATAGCCGGTTAGGCGGGCAATCCCTGGGTGCAGGAGCTCCCCCGTTGGCTCGTATCACCTCCTTCTCTACTTGCCAAGTCAGCGCTCCTACCAACACGGTTTAACGGAATGATGGGTTCCGGCTCCTTGACTGAAGGCACAGGGTCAAACAGACGGGACAGAGCGTCAGGCTTGACATTCTGAGACCCCGGCCTGTAAGAGAGAACAAAGTCAAACCGGTTAAAAAACAAAGTCCACCTGGCCTGGCGGGAGTTCAGTCTTTTGGCT